TGTTGTCTTATGCTTTGGAGATGGTCTCAGTTGTTTGTTTCCACAGCAGGACCCAGCTTATCCTTACTGATCCCCGAAGGCACAGTTAAGATACCAATAGTCTACATCTTGAAGTAAGCCAGTCACAGGGACATGTATCACCTCACTTATATGAGATGCCTAGAGTAGTCAAATCATAGCGACAGAAAGCCGAATGGTGGCTGCCAGGGGCTGAGGGGACGGGAGAATGGGGAGTCTGTTTTGTGAGTGGAGTTTCAGTTGGGAAGATGAAAAAGTTCTGGAGATGGCCAGTGGTGATGCTTATGGAACAACATGAACGTACTTAATACCTCAGTGCAGTGCACTTAAAAGTGGTTAAGATGGTAAATTTTGTGTTATATAATACGTGTTACACACATACACACACACACACACATATATGGGGTTTTGTTTTTTTGGTTGGTTGTTTTTGTGAGACAGTCTCACTCTGTCGCCCAGGCTGGAGTGCAGTGGTGCAATCTCGGCTCACTGCAACCTCCGCCTCCTGGGTTCAAGCGATTCTCCTGCCTCAGTCTCCCAAGTAACAGGGACTACAGGCGCCCTCTACCGTGCCCAGCTAATTTTTGTATTTTTAGTAGAGACGGGGTTTCACCATGTTGGCCAGGCTGATCTCAAACTCTTGACCTTGTGATCTGCCCGCCTCGACCTCCCAAAGTGCTGGGATTATAGGCGTGAGCCACCACACCCAGCCTGTGTTATATATATTTTATCACAATTAAAAAAAATAGCCTCTATCTTTGCAACAGAGGAAACAGATTAGGAAAAGGGATGCCTTTGATTTCATGGTATTCCAAAACTGGGAGAAGGCACTTAACTACTCCTCTCCCCTACACCCAAGAACAGCCCTCTTTTACCTTCTTCAGGTTCATGCCATCTTCAGCCAGCAGGAATTTGGGGAAGCACAGAAGCTGCATCGGCCAGCAGCTGGGAAGGAGGGAGCCAGCCTGATTCCCATCAATTCATTAGAGCTGGGAAACCATGCCAGGTCTCTAGCCCAGAGGCTGGTCGCTCTCTATGGGATGACTTGAAACATCTCAGGCCCCCGGGGCTGCCCCACCTCTTCATTTTCAGAACTCATCACTGCACATTGTGTAGGCTGTGAATCAGCCTTCTAAAATTTACCGCAACACCCTTGCCCTCATCAGAGTTCTCTTTACATGCTGGGTGGGCCTGTAGCCGAGTACCCGCCCCCCCACCTGACTTCACCCGTACCAGGAGCAGTGCTGGATGTCACCCTTCACAGCAGGGCAGGCAGAATTGCTCATAATGGCTAAGAGCCCCAGGCTCCAAATTCAGGATGTCTGGGTTAGCACCTGGGTCCTGAGACTGATTTGCGGATTGAGTGAGCAGTGCCACCCAAGCTCTCTGCACAGCGCCTGACGTGCAGAGAGGGGCTGAGAAGTGAACGCCACTGTGGTCACTGTCGCTGCTCCTCCCCTCGTGCCCACAATGCTCCTGCCTTATTGGGCAACATAGACTCACAGCGGTGAAAAACGTGAGGGACAGAGATATGTCCCCTCCTTGGGCTGTGGTGACGGAGAATCCCTAATCCTTCGGGCCACATCAAGGCTGGAATGCACAGGCTCTGTCACAGGAGCGTTTGATCTTATGGCTTTGTTATAGCTTAAGCATCTTATTCCACCACACAAGCCTAAGAGGCCTCTGAGGATCCTTCCAGCCCTGGACTAAGAATTCACATTGAGTTAAACAGCTTTGTTCACTGCAGGACTTCTCAGGGCCTTTACAATTTAAATGTTAAAGCAAATTGCCAGAGAGGAGTATAGGATGCAAACTTGGACCTAGGAAGATGCTGTAGGATTAATGTTCTGAGGAATATTCTTTGGGGAGTGTCCGTATCCAGCCTTCTGTGGGACCCAAAGAAGACTTGACAGTAAAAGTCCTCCTTTGGTCTATAGAATCGAATCCCTGATACAGCCATTAGCCTTCAGACATGAACATATGTGGGGACAGCTCACCTGGCAAAGCTGGTTCCCTTGCCAGGAGACAACTGAGTAGATGTGGTAGGCCAGTGCCCTGCACAGAATGTTCCCCAAACAATTTCTGGCCTTCCACATTTGGAGGTGGGGTGGCTGCAGCTGCATTGATCTAATCGTCTTCAAATGAGAAGAAGCTTCTCACTGCCCTACTCAAGCCAGATTCCTGGGGAAGCTCCACCTGTGTTTCTTAGAGAACGTTTCTCTTAGGCCTTTGGTTTGCATTGTCTGTGACTTGGCCCCTGCAGCATTCCTGCAGCTAAGATTCAAGCACCTCCAGAGAGGCTGGTTGAATTTTGCTGGCACCTTTGTCGCTGCCCAACAAGGTGCACCCCATGTAGCCCGCTTCGGGGGCATGCAGCATACATGGTCGCACAGGGCTTTGCATTTGGTTTGGTGCTATGCTGTTGCCATCTGGAAATTCTTCGTAGTTTTGAAATGAGGGACTCCCGTTTTCATTTTGCACAAAGACTTGGAAAGTATGTGTCTGGCCCTGACCAGAGGCCCTCTTGGGCCACATGGTGAGGTGCCAATCAGTGACCTGGAAGCAGAGCCTCTGCCCCCTTCCTCGCCAGGTCACGTTTGCATTGCAGAGAGTGTCACACAGCCAGTTCAGGAACCTTGCACCCCTGCAGGGTGCAGGCCACGCCCTGAGCAGAAACCACGCCATGTTTTTGTTTTGGAAACAGTCTTGCTCTGTCTCTCAGGCTAGAGTACAGCAGTGCAGTCTAAGCTCACCGCAACTTCTGCCTCCTGGGTTCAAGTGATTCTCATGCCTCAGCCTCCTGAGGAGCTGGGACTACAGGCGTGTGCCACCACAGTCGGCTAATGTTTTGTGTTTTTAGTAGAGATGAAGTCTCGCCATGTTGGCCAGGCTGGTCTTGAACTCCTGACCTCAGGTAATCCACACACCTTGGCCTCCCAAAGTGCTGGGATTAGAGGCGTGAGCCACCACGCCCAGCCACTACATTTGTTTTAGTTACAAAAACCTCCTTCGCCAAAACTCAGCCAGGTTTATGGATCACTGATGAGGGAAAATGTCATGGGTGACCTATAATAGGTGTATAGAAGAAGTGGGCTGCGTGCTGTTGGGCAGGGAGGATACGGTGGGGCGGACACAGGGCCAACCTGCACTGTAGCTCCATCACAGCTCTCCCCCACCACTGCCTGCCTGCCCTGCCCTCTACAGATGGAAGCTACCTGTCCCCCTGCTGGCACAGGTAGCTGTCCCTGCTGACACAGGTGGCTGTCAGCAGCCTGCACCCCCTGGTGGGTGCCCCTCCAAGCTGCCCTGGGGGCCTCCCAGTCTCCATGTTATTCCTACTGGTGGAAGTCGCTGTGGCCAGCTGCCCCTGCCCTGCTCTGAGTCCCTCACAGGCAGGCTCATTTTACCTCTCTTCACTCACCTGTAGCTTCAGCCAAATTAAACCTTCTTTACACCAGGCACTTAAAACAGAAAAAGTGGCCTATTTACTTGTATTTCCAGACCAAAAAAATGTTGAGTGGTACCAGACACCCAGGCCTCTCTCTGTCCTCCCACTGGGGCTCTTTATAGACTTGGCATCTTTTCCTCAGGGCACGTGGCTCCCGTTCAGGACTGGGCAGGAGACTGAGGTCAGGTCTCGGGTGCTGGATGAACAGGATGAGGTGATTTGTGGGTAGTGGTTGAGGGGAGGGATCTGCTTGACTCAACGGCTGCCTCTGACTTGGGAGAAAATGTTTGATAAGAAGGGCATCCTTCTGACTACTGCACAGTTACCTGTGATCCAGGACTCAGTTCAAAATTAAGCCAAACACCATCACTGTGTGACCTGCCCATGTCAGCCAGTGACTGACTCCTCTTTCCCACGAGAAGGGAACACCTCCAGATTAAACAAAAGGATTCTGTACAAGCGCTGGGCCCTGCTCTGCCTTTCTTATGCTAAGCTCAAGGTTACAAAGCCAAAGGGAAGCATTACGGAATTTCCCATGAACGCTTTCCTCCTGTGCCATCCCGCCAGAGTGACAGGGAAGTAATGGATCCCTCAGGACTACAGACATGCTGGAGGAAAAAGTTCAAAGGGCATCGTGAGCTCAGCCTTTCTTCCTAGAAGATTCTCAAGGCCCTTCCCAAGAAAGTTGCTCTGCCTTAAATAATAGCACCACTAAGTTGCCTTCATTGGGCACTTATTGAGTACAACACAAAATACAAGGCACTTTACTCCCAAAAACCCCATCTTACCAGTTGGAGAACTGTGTTTTAAAGAACGAAGTCATTTGCCTATGGACACCCAGCTAGGAAGTTAGTAGAGCTCGAATTCTGGTCCAGATCCACCTGACTCTAAAGCCATGAGCTCCCACGGGGCCAGCGTGCCTTCCTCTCTCAGCCTGGTAACTGTGAACCCAGTCAAAGTGGACGAGGGAGGAGTCGTCCAATGGAAGCTGAGGTCCCATCACTGCCACTGTGCAGGTGGAAGGCCCCCCCAGCAAAGCAGCTCCTTGTTGGGTCAGAGGCGTGGTGTGAATTACTGGGGACGTCCTCTTAGGCCATGTTCTCAAGTCCCCTTCACCCCAAATGAAAGTGTTGGCATTTTCTACCGGCCACCCCTACCTTCTGACTACAAAGCCGTCTGTAACCTAACTTGATCATAATTAGATTTTTAGCACATGCTTACAAGATTAATGGATTAATCATAGTTTATTTGCAAATCATTAAAAACATTACTCAAAAACACTTTCCCTGAAGATTGTTTGGGTTGCCCAGGGCAAGATAATTAACGAGACAGAGGGGAAAAAATGAAAAACACACAACTGTCAACCTCATTAAAGATAATCAAATAAACCCTCAAGTTCACTGAGCTAACTGTGCAGCCTGCGGGGGGCTGAGAAACCTGGTCTGTTCCTTGGTGCTGAATTGGCTCTTCAGGTACCATGTGAAAGAATTACTCTGCCTAAATACCTTCCCATCTTTCTTTTTTTCCACAACAGCCTCCATTTGATGGTGAAGATGAGGACGAGCTATTTCAGTCTATCATGGAGCACAACGTTTCCTATCCAAAATCCTTGTCCAAGGAGGCTGTTTCCATCTGCAAAGGAGTAAGTCGATTTGGATACCTTTTGTGATCATAGACCAAGAGCTTTGGTAGGAGAAATACTTTCCCCACACTTCTAAGAGAGATGGCAGAAATACCACAAACCCACACCACTGCATTTTGGCCGTCGACGGTTGGGGCTTGGTGTCACACAGGGCACAGTGGGGAAAGTGAAGGCCGGGAGAATGGACTGGAATCCCAATACTTCCTGGGACTCTGGCCCAGTCACCTAATGACTGTACTGCACTTTTCATTCTAATCCATTTCATAAAATTGTGGTGGGGACTACCAGATGTTGTCAGAGGCCCATGGAAAGTGTGTGCTCTCGTCGCCTGCCTCACCTGGTGCGACTTAGTTAGTTCTTTGTTTGCTGCACTTTTCTTGAGCTATAGCACACATACAGCAATGGCACAAATCATCAATATGCTGATAAATGAATCTTCACAAAATGAATCCACCCGTATAATTGCACCCAGCTCAGGAAACTGTGTTTCCACCACCCTGGAAGCCCCCTCCTGTCCCATCTACAGTCACTATCCTGCCCCAAGATAACCTACCCCCGAGGTTTGGACAGCATGGATTAGTCTTGGCCTGTTGTGAACTCTGCGCAAACTGAACCTTGTAGTGTTGCTCCTGGCCTGGCTGCTTTCACTCAATATCGTGATTGAGGATTTTGTCTGCATTGTTGTGTGGGGTTGTAGTTCCTCCTGTCATATTGCTGTGCAGTGTTCCGCCGTGTGAACACACCATCGTTTCCTTATCCGTTCTACTTCTGGTGGATATTTGGATAGTTCTTGCTTTGGTTTGAGGCTGTTACAAGCAGAACTGCTGTGAACCTTCTGGGGCGTGTGTTTTGGTGAAGATACGCACACACTTTGGTTGAGGAAATGCTCTAGGAATAGAGTTGCTGATCATGACTTGTCTGTCTAGTTTTGAATGGTCAAGAGTTAGATCACAAAGCTATTTTCAGGCTTAGTAAGATGGAGTACAATATACCCTTAACAGTATCTGGTGAGTGTGATCATTTGTGAGGCATTTGTCACGTGTCATCCAAGAGCAAGGCACTTGGGAGAGATACTGAGGTCGGGAGGAACTGGCGTCTGCCTTCAAAGAGCTCATAGCTGTTGTTTGTCTCTGTGTCCTGCAATAGGCAAGTCGGAATTAACTAGTCACCTTGCTTGTTATAGCATTTATTTTTCTAATTTATGAGTCTTTGATTGATAACATTTTAGCCCAGACAATACATAGACATATGATGCTTATTATGGCATCCTCTGTGATGCTAGACTGTGATGCTTTCAGCACACACAGTTTTTAGTGATTGCATGTTTTTTTTTTTATTACCAGATACATGTATAGCATGGTGTCTCCAAAATAGATAACGTGTGAGATGTCTGTTTAAATTCTTCTTATTCCATTTGGCCATGGGTTCATCTGTTCCCTTATCTTGAAAACCACCATAGGCAGGGCTGCACTTGCCAATGTCATTTTTGTGAGTTGGCTTCACTCCGTACAAGCCACCGAGTGTCTTGGTCAGCTCTCTGAGATGCTATCCAGGCGCCCACAAAGTCAGGGCTGTAGGCAGAGCTAGGCAAATGGAAAGCGCTGTCTCTGGGAAACATTTGACATCCATTGTTCTCTTTTTCTCCTTTTCCTTTCTAGCTGATGACCAAACACCCAGCCAAGCGGCTGGGCTGCGGGCCTGAGGGGGAGAGGGACGTGAGAGAACATGGTTTCTTCCGGAGGATCGACTGGGAAAAACTGGAGAACAGGGAGATCCAGCCACCGTTCAAGCCCAAAGTGGTGAGTCCAGAAAAGCAGCCTGTGTTCTGAGCCCCATATCCCCAGATTCTGGGAGTATCCCACTCACCTCTTTTCTTGGAGAGAGGAGGCCGGTGGCCCCTGGCTTGTACAGGGTGAGGAAACCGGCCAGGTTGCAGCCTTTCCTCAGTCCTGTGGCCTCAGCAGCCAGGATTCCTGCTGCCTTCAGAGAGTGAGGACCGATAAGGCAGGGAGGGGAACCCTGTGCACACTTCGCCCTCCAGCTGGGCAGCTGCAGAGCACCCCCGCACAATTAGGGAGTGAGGGCAGCTCTGCTTTGGGTCTGGACTTTGTGGACTCGCACCCAGCAGCGCTATATTCATAGCCTTCAGTCCTCAGCTGGACTCAGGCTTCGTGTCTGTCTCCAGCTTTCCTGGATTTGCCTGGCACCGATGGGAGCCCTGAAGCACAACCCCATCCTAGCCAGCTCGTAGGCAGGGCCTGGGCCCCGCCCCCTCTTCCACCACTGTCACCGCTGCAGGGAGTGAGTGTCAGGCACCAATTCTGATGTTGTCAGCTTTTTTCACACTCTCCCTGTTCGATTCCCATTTTTTTTTCATTTATTTAAACACTATGTGCCAGGTCCTGTTCTTCGTGCCTTACAAATATTAATTCACTTAATCATCCCAACAGCCCTGTGAGATGGGTACTGTGGTCCCCAGTTTGCAGTGGAGGGCACAGAGAAGCTGAGTAACTTGCCAGAAAGCACACAGCGGATAGGTGGTGGAACCTGGAGGAGTCTGTGTCCTCACCCACTGCACCATCGCTCCGTCTCAGCGACTGCCCTGGCGCTGATGCTGCGGCCCTAGTTGTTGATTGCGACCAGCCAGTGCCTTTCATGCTTATATCTCTCGAAGTAAACTGAGAGCCTTTAAGATGTCAGCCTCCTCACACACCACCTGCCACTTTGCCGAGCCTCCAGGGAAGTTCTGTTTCTAAGGGCTGGGCGGACTGTGCCTTCCAGCTCTGCCACTATCCTGGCCAGCATCAGGTGGCTCACATTGTGCCTCTGCACGGAGACTGCAGAGAGCTGCTTTATGCCACAGTCAGTTTCAGAAGCATTGCCATGTTGGTTTCGTTCAAATCTATCTCCTCTGACAGGTGCCCCATGAGCAGGCCAGGGGACCCGCCTCGGGTGGCAGAGTTGCCAACTGGGTGGCACACAGCCTTATTCTTAGAGCAGCAACTTCCTCACCATGTGTGCCTCTGTGTCCTCTACCCCAAGAATAAAACTGCTGTTGGTGAGCCCACTGGATTTTATTTTTCTAAGGTATTTTTAGCACACACTGAAGAAAAACTAAAATTAATGAGGTCAGTTGACTTCCTCCTGAATCATCGTTTCAAATAAGGCCCTTCTGTATCTGCTGCCCCCACCTTTTCTTTAGCCAGCCCTGCACACTGATTTCAGGGGGCTCTCACGGGCTCCCGCCCCTCAACTTACAAAACCTGGTCTGAAGGTTTTGGGGGGGCGTGGGGAGAGTGATTAATGATGCTGCAGGTGGCCTCAGTAGAAAATTCTGTTAGGGATTTTTTTTTCCTCTTTTACCTTTAATATTTATTTGTCGTCTTAAATTAAAACATGAAGGTTATGCAATAGCATCTTGAACACAGCTTAGTTTCTTTATAGGAACAACGTAGAGATGCATACTGACCCTGCCTTGAGGGTTGAGCAAAATCCAATTATTTGTCAGTCACTTTCCAGAAAAAGATGAGTTGCAGCAAAACCAACCATAAAACATGTCTTTTTCTGTTTATTCCCACCTTATAGCAAAAGAGAGTGTTTATCTGCATAGTCTCCCACGTTTTGTGGATACTCGGCCCTAAGCTCAGACGTAGGGAAGACGAGGGCAACTTGGCTCCAGCAGGCAAGAATGTGAATTGTTCCCTGTGGTCGTGGAAATCACTGGGAGCAAAGCTGTACCCACGGCAGGCAGCTGAGTTAGAAGCAGTGTTTATTTATATTTTATTCCTGGAGCGCTACTGTTTGCTGGGTTTTTTGTTTTTGTTTTTTAACTGATTGCTGGTTAAAATTAAGAAGGAAGGATAAATTGCCCCTGGCTATGAAGAAATAGCCCCTGAACTCAAATGGAGGCAGAAATTGTGGACCCAGGCCCCAAAACTGGAGATTTCATGTGAAAGGCCCTACCTGGTGAGAGCTCTGGCCTGAAAGAAGGAAGAGATTTCTCAGGCAGAAGCCCGTGATCTGCTGGAAAACCTGTGCACAAAAGAGGAAGAAGGTAGAAAGAATACAGACGGAGAGGAAATGGGCCCACAGAGGGAACGACGACAGTGAAGATAGAAGCAGGTGGCTGCAGGGGGACCCACAGACACTGTCCAAAAGCAGAGCGTGTCAAGGGCAGAGAGATAAATGGGGCAAGCTCTGATTCCTGGAAGGGCAGCGATGTGTCTCTGGAGAGCTGTTTCCTCTAGTCCTTGTACTGTGCCAGCCAAGTGAGGCTCATCGCAGCATGTCATGCAAGGGCTGGCACCACCGTCTTCAGCGGTCTCTGAGGACTGCACTCTGTTCAGTGATGACACGCTGGAGCAGAGACACCATGCCAAGAGCCATTCCAGTGGCTGGAGAGGACATTTAGAACAGCAACAAGCAACCAAAGTCGAAGCTGCACAATACACCATGGTTCATACAAAGCAGCAGGAGAGAACTAGCGGCGTAGAAAAGTTATTCTGGGATGTGGTTTTCCAGCTTCCTTGGTGAAAAATGTACTATGGTTCCCTGACCCAGAGCTAACTGAAAAGTGAAACATGTTTACAGAACTGAGCATTCTCTGACGGGTCGTTTTGTTATTTCAAAGGGAGACGTAGCAATGCAAGCCTAAATAGTGCTGCCGGAGAAAGGATCAGGCAAACGTCACGCAGCCAGCAGCTCTCACCGCGAGCCCATTTCTGAGTGGCTGTCGCCTCTCAGCAGTTCTTATGACCCTGGCTGACCAGCCTTTTCTGTCTCGGTGAAGACTGCCTGATGGTTTTTTAGCAAACGCTGGTGAATCAACTTCCTGAGACTTGCAGGCTTAAGGACAGGTAGCTGTTTTCACGTGCGGTCCCGCTTCTGGCTCCCATGGAATTAAACCTTTGCTTATTACCAAATGCCAGTAGTGGGACTTGAAGTTCTCACAGTTATTTGCAAACTGCTTCTACAGATAAGATTGAGCTTGTAGGATCAGGAGTCTTTCATCTTTGTTTTACTAATTTTTAAATGTTTTGAACCTCCAATGAAAGAGTCTTCCAGAATCACTTGACTTCTCAAAGGAGGGTAGAAGTATTCCATTGCTGGACAGCCTACAGAGCTTATCAGGGAATCATGGTTCCTCTAGTGTGCTGTCTTAATCCTCTTCCTGACTGCCAGAGTGACT